GCCCCTCCCTCTGAGCCATCCTCCATCCTTAGGGCTTTGGGGGGCCGAGAGGGGGTCCCCATGTGGGGAGCACTGGTCCAGGGTAGGGCTTCAGGTGGGGGTGGGGTGCTCCCTCTTTGCAAGGTCTCCCCCAGTACCCCGTCAGCCCATCACCCCCTGCACTCCCTGGCTGAAGCCTCTGGGCCCCAACAATGACCAGCTCTCCTCCGTGTGCCGGCCTCCGCGCCCCCAGCTGCCCTCCCCGACCCGGCGCGACGCCCCGATGTTACCGTCCCAGCCCCATGGCCCCTTCCAGGGAACTCCCAGGCCTCGCTGCGGCCCCAGCCGCGAGCACCTTCTCTCCACCCCGGGCTTCTGCAGCCTCACCTGCGTGTCCACCTCTGGGTGAAGGAGCACACAGCGCCCCAGCGGCAGGCCCCCCAGGGCATGGGGTGGGCAGCGGGAGTGAGGGTAGATGCTGCCTCTTGCACGCATGCACACGCTTGTGCACGCACATACGTCCGTGCGCATGTCCCTTCCCTCCCTTGCGGTGGACCCCTTGCCCCAGGCCCTCAGACTGGGGGCTGAGGGTGGGAGTGGGGCCTATGTTGTAGCTGAACCCACTCCACGAGTTGGGGTGCTTGTGGATGATGGAGGTTATGAGGGGCTGAAGTTCACCCAAGTGCCCGCACGGTGCCATCACCCAGTAGCTGGCCCTGCGGGGAACCCCCTCCAGGCCACAGAGGCCTCTCTCTGCCTTTGCGCCTGGTCCCCGCCCCCCACCCGCTGCTGCCCCCAGGCCCGCCCGCCAGTGCAGGGAACCTCTGGGGACCAGACCATAGCACCTGTCCTGGGCGGGTCCCTTGCGGCCTGGGTCTCACACCCCAAGCGGCAGGCGGGGGGGCTGGTTCTTTGGGGGCTTTGTATTGTGGTCCAAACCTTCCCTGTGCCAGCCCCAGAGAGGGCCCTCCGGGTCTTCAGGGTCACCCACCCCCTGCTCAGCCTGAGTCTCCACGGGTTTCACATCTCCTGGCCTGAGGCCTGGCCCTGTGTCCCTGGACATCTTGCCCACTGACTCCCTGTCTGACGGCTCCTCGGCCCAAGTGCCCCAGCCCCTCCTCCTCCTCCTCCCCCTCCAGTCTCCACCTGGAATCCTTGATATTAAGCGCCACCGGATCCCGGTTGGCCCAGACACAGGCTTATGTAGGGCAGGCCCTGGCTCCCTGGGGCTGGCTGGCAGAAAAGCGGGTTACAGCCAGTGAGCCTAGAGCCTCAGGGCGCACATGAAGCAGTTCTTAAAAACCCATCAGGAAAGGAGGGTGGGGGTGGGCCGGCTCTGGGCGGTACCCGTGGCCAGGCTCCTTCCCGGACCCCTGGGCAAACAGAAGGGCGATCCACAGCTGGACAAGCCCTTGCCCAACGTCACTCAGGATCCTCACATTCAGGGAGACGGCAAAGGGCTGCCCGAGGAACAGGCATCCAATATATGCCCGTTTAGTCCCCAATTTCGGTGGTAATGTATTTTAAAATACTTTATTTTCCTGTTTCTCAAAGAAAACTAAGTTTTCCAACTCAAAAGAGACAAAGAGGAAGCTCATGAAGCCAGCAAGGTTAGGTAAACCCTGTGGATTGGCACACATGGGGGCCACCCCCAGGGCAGGGGGGAGGGTGTGCCGAGCAGTGGATGGTCTGGGAATGCAAGCACAGGGGCAGGGCACAGGGGGCCTCTGGCCGGCTGGGGAGACCACCAGGTCCTGGTGCGGCCACGTGGTGGGGGGAGCCTGTGATGCATCCTCCTCACCATCTCGCGGAGGCTGAGAGCTGGAGACCCCTGCCCGGGGTGCCCCAGCCTGCTCACCGCTGACCCCAGCCCCCCAGCGGAGTTGGACAGGCCCGTGGTTCCCCCTCCCCAGACACACCTCTCTCTCCCACAAAATAATTTAATGCAACTCAATGGCTTGAAGTTGATGTAAAAATTATAGGCGTGTGGGGGTGGGCTGGGGTGGGGGCCTCGCAAGAAATCTTTTTGAAAATATAATTGAGTTAATGGAGCCATAACTGTGTCTCGTTTTGGGGTAATTGGCCTGCTTTTTGTCACTCTGTCCATTTACATACTCCTGTTTTCTTTTCTCTATTGATTTTTTCTTTATAAAGTGGGCCACTTTACTGCAATTTTTAAAGCCCCAGTGATGAATAAAAACCTCATCTTCCCACTCATTAAGACACCGGAATTAACCGGGCTCAGGGCCCCACCAGCCAATTTGTGTAACAATCCTGGGCTGCCTTGTTTTGGCTGAGGCTGGGGGGCTGCTTACTGAAGGCCGAGGGGTTCAAAGGCAGTCGGGGTGGGGGAGCCAATTTCCGGGAGGCGGTCCCAAGGTGAGGGGTGCCTCCAGAGGGGCCCACATACAGGGGAAGGAAGCGGAGGACTGGAGGACCCCCAGAAGTTTACGGCCCCCACTGCCCGGGAATCTGGGTCCCCTAGACTATGACCTTGAGACGCTCCTCCCCATCCCGGCCTTCCTCCCCTGCTGAAGGGGCCTAGGCCCCTCCCTCACCCTGCACCTGCCTCCTGGTGGCTGTTAATTCAGAGGCCCCACCCACCTGCCTTTGACCACAGACCAAGGTCACATTTCCTAAAGAAAATATTTTTTTTAATTATAAAATCCATATACGCAGAAAACAAATGAGTCCAATGGTATGATAGGATATAAAGCGAACGAAGGCAGCATGTCCCCGGCACCCTGGGTCTCCGGATGCGACACCCATGAATGGCCCTGTACCACCTGCAACTTGGTTGTTTTGTTTCATCCCATTCGCCAGGGGGGCGTTTCCCAGGCCTCGGGACTTTGGTGCTAATCCAGGACGGTCCCGGGAAACGGGGACAGATGTGCAGCTTCTGCGTGCTCAGCCAGCCTCCTACTGATGGACGCTTCTCGTTTCTCAACGTGCCAAATGCTGCGTGGAGGACATCTCTGCTCCCATCATCTTTGTGCCCTTGTGCAAGCCTGTCTGGAAGATAGGATTTCTGGAAGAGAAACTACTAGGCGAAAAGGCAAGCATCTTTCAAATTTTGATCGCTCTTGCCAAATTGCCCCGCAGAAGTGTGCCAACATACACCACACCCTTCCCCCCACAAGTGTGAGAGATTCGCACAGCTGGATATCCCCAATCATTTTGTAGATTTTTTTTAAGATTTTTATTTATTTATTTGACACAGAGAGAGAGAGACAGCGAGAGAGGGAACACAAGCAGGGCGAGTGGGAGAGGGAGAAGCAGGCTTCCCCCGGAGCAGGGAGCCCGAAGGGGGGCTCGATCCCAGGACCCTGGGACCATGACCTGAGCCGAAGGCAGACGCTTAACGACTGAGCCACCCAGGCGCCCCTTAATAAAATATTTTTAACAAATGGAATCATGCAGAACGCACCAACTCCCAAGGCTCAGCTCGATGATTCTGAGACTCACTGGGGCTGTTGGTGGCATGTATCCTCCCATTGAGGGGTGGCGACCATGGCCTGGGTGGGCCACGTCTGCGGCGGGTCCCTGTGGTTCGAGTCTGGGTTGTTCCAGGCGGGGCTATTAAGGCTGCAGGTGAACGTATGTTTTCACCCGGATGGACGCCACGGAAGGGAGCGGCTGCGCCGCGTGGGACGGTCCTGGCTCCGCACACTGCGTTCCCCGCGGGGCTGCGCCCTCCTGCCTTCCCACCAGCTGCCCCCGGTTCCCAGATCCGCGGCTCTCCGCTGGGAGCTGTGTGGCCCTGTCTCACTGGGGTTCCAATCTGCGTTTGCCTGATTAGTCTGTTGCCTTTTGACATTTGTTAATAACGATGCTTTCATCATGCAGAAATTTCAAGCAGTTTGTGTAATACGTTTCTCTTTCTGTTGGTGGTTTTGGGTTTTATCAGTTTCCCTTTAGATCCCAGTCGTGATGGCTTCGGGCCCCAGAAATGGGCCCCTCAGGCTGAGCCCCTCTTACTCGTAGGCGTTTCCAAAGTGCCGGAACCCCCCGCCCGGGCTCACAACCCCCCATCACTCTCCTCTCCAGCCACACCAGGGGGCCCCCCAAGGGGAAGCAGCATAGAGACGGACATCAGTGCCCTCCCCCCGGGGACCCCAACACCCACGCCAAGGGTCCTGTCTGCCATCTGCATAGCTCGGCCCGTTTCTGTCACTCCTCTGACCCCAGGCCCCATCCCCAGGTGGAGGCGGCTGGAAGTTACAATTGTAAGCCGCAGGCACCCACAGAGCGAGCCCGCAGGCGGTGGCTGGGGTCCGGAGAGAGGGAGCTGGGTGCAGGCAAGTGCTCAGCGGGGACATGGAGGTCCAGACCACGTCAGGCCTGAGTCAGGGCTGCCTGTTCCACCAGGGCTCTGGGGGCCCCACATCCGTCCCTGCTTCTTCCTGGCAACAGGTGCAGCCACCGTCACCATGGGCCCTGCCGGGTCAGGGGTCTGGACTCTGTTCCATGGCCTGCTCCCCCTTCCCAGCCAGCCCCCCCGAGGAGGAGCCCTCTCCTCTCGTTCCCTTCTCTTGTCCCCTCTGCCTTGCTGAGCCTTTCCCTCCGGCGCCGGCTCTCTCCTCCCTGACTGTGACCACAGTGTTTCCAGGGTCACTCACTACAGTGGGTTGAATGGCATGTCCACGGGGCACCTGGATGGCTCAGTCATTAAGCATCTGCCTTCGGCTCAGGTCATGGTCCCAGTGTCCTGGGATCGAGCCCCGCATCGGGCTCCCTGCTCCGCGGGAGGCCTGCTTCTCCCTCTCCCACTCCCCCTGCTTGTGTTCCCTCTCTCGCTGTGTCTCTCTGTGTCAAATAAATAAATAAAATCTTAAAAAAAAAAAAAATGAATGGCGTGTCCACCCAGAGCCTCAGAACGTGGCCTGGTGTAGAGTGAGGGCCTTTGCGGATGTAACTAAGGTAAGGATCCTGAGAAGAGGTTCTCCTGGGATGGGCGAGCCCTAAACCAATGACAGGCGTCCTTGTAAGGGGAGGACAGGACACGCCTCAAGCAGGGAAGAGGAGAAGGCCGTGCGAAGACGCAGCCACAAGCCTGCCGAGGGGTGCCAGGAACAGCCCGCAGCCCCAGGAACTGGGACAGAGGTGAGGCGGGGCTCTCCCTCAGAGCCACACACGGACTAGCCCTGTGGCCTCCAGAGCTGGGAGAGAATCAATGTCTCCTGTGAGACGGCAGCCCCAGGAGACTAGCACCCTTGCTGGGGGGTCCCTGTGCACCCCCAAAGCAGGTCCCAAGACAAGAGCTCTGTGGCCCCCCCGGAGGTGACCCCAGAATGTAGGAGTGGGAAGGGGACAAAGGAAAGCCCGATGCAGGTGCGCACCTGGGGCTGCATTCCCCCCAAACACGTGCGTCGGAAATGTCCCCTGAACACTCCCACCTGTGTGCCGGGAGCCCCGCCGGCCCCCAGCCCAGAGTGGACATGTGTTCAAGAAGTCCGTGCTTGGCGTGCTGGGTCGATCCTGTGGACTCGGTGGGCGGACAGATGTCAGCAGCCTCTGCCGCCCCGGGAACCTAGCTCTTGCTCTGGGACCCCAGGGCGGCCCCCCCAGGGAGCACCCCAGTTGTCACGCTGGAGCACCCACCAGGCAGACAAAGGCAAAACCAGGGCTGCCAAAACTTCTTGGAAATAATCTGATAATCGATGCTTCCGAAGGGCATTGAAGTGTTCCACGTGGGCCCGGCTGAGACCCGTTCTGATGGGGGTGGCTCCTGACCTTCCTGGGCCCCCAGTCCCTTGCCCAGCGCCCCTGCTGGGGCTGCTCCTGATAGCCTGTCCCAGGGGGCCCATCCCTCCTGCCTCCACATCTGCCCACGATCCTCGGGACACCCTTGCCCTTTGTTCTCATGGTGCCTCCCACGCTGGCTCCCACCGGTGCTCCCCTCAGAAGCTCCGCCACATCCACACTCCTCCTGAGGACGCGACCTCCTAACGCACATCGCAGCTCAGAGGAAGAGTTGGTCCAGCCTGAAGTGTGACCGGTTTACAGGCAGGGACGAGTCCACCCGAGCTGGGGGCTTCCACTGTGAGTGCCAGAGTCTGATTTTAGGCTTTACCGGAAGTAACCAGTGTCCACAGCCCCCGCAGTGAGCTGTGCTGGGGGCGGGGATGAGCCTGCCCCCACCCCATGTGGGCCGTGGGCATGGGAGGTGGTTCACGTGGTGGGGGCCGCACTGGGCATCAGGAAGTGGTGTCTCCCCCGCTCCCTACTCCACTCAAGCACAACCCCTGCCCAAGTCCCCCCATCCCTTCCCCCACCCCAAACAGCCCCAAGCTGGCGGGGGAGGGGTGCCAGCCCAGGGAGACCTGCCGCTATTGCGTGGAAAGGGCAGGTAGAGGGCACCTCCCAGCAAAGAAGAGCCTCCAGGACGAAGCAGGGCGAGGATGGCAAGAGGGACGTAGGTTAGACCCTGGGAGTGAGTGACATGTTGGCAAAGGACACGGGGGTGCCTTCTTTTTTGGCTTCAGGAGGTCCTGCTGGCCACGCCACCCAGTGGTCCTCACCCCCCCATCCACCCCGAGCAAGCGCCAGACCCACGGCCCACCCGGCAATTCCACTTCGCAGGTCTGTGCCCCACGGTCTGCATTTCTAATTCCAGGCGCTGCTGCTGGTCCTGGGCCCACACTGAGAAGGCAAGCGTCCCCTGATCGTGGCCAGTGCGTGTGGCCAGGAGCTCTGCCTGCCGCCCGGACCCACCCCACCGCATCCCAGGGCCAGGCAGGCTGAGGGACCCCGCACGTGATCCACGCGTGGCCTAACCTGATTGGCCAGCCTGCGCCAGGCACCTGCCCCAACCCCACGAGGTCCTGTGGTTGACAGGCTGACCTGCTGATGGGAGGCGTCCCCGGGGCCTCACTTTTTCATCAGAAGGATGTGTGTGCCTCGGCCCTTCCGACCCCGACAGGTGAGCCCTGCACTCTCCAAGAGCTACCCTTCCACCCTGCATGTGGCAGAGAGAGGACCAGTGAGGGGCTGCGTGCCCCACGGAGCACAGACCTGAGCCTGTGGCTTGGGGCCCGTCCCAGGCGTGCCCTTCTTGCCCACACAGCTAGGGTTGGAGGGAAAGCCTCCATTCCCAGGCAAGGCCACCGGCAGCCAGTCCAACATCCGGGGTGGAGGGGACTGGGTTCCCAGGGAACCCCTGCTTGCGGCTGAAGCTGGTTGCACCACCTTTCCTGCTTCCTGTCCCACACCAGTTACTGTGGGGTCACCCTGGGGGCCCCCAAGGTCTGTACATGCCCACATTTTGAGGAGCATACAGTGACACCTACTCGAGCCAGGCCCCCAAGATGCTGAGAATGCCCTCAAAGACCCTGCCCCGGGGCCACAGGTGGGAGGTTCCAGACACCCTGGGATGCCTAATGAGGCCTCATGCCAGGGTGAGGGCGCCGGCCAGCATCGGCCCAGAGCCACGGGGATGCGGTTGCTGCCGCCCGTGACCACCGAGACCTGGGGACTCCCGGGCTCCAGGGGGAGAGGAGACCACTGACCCGCCTGACACGGCCTGAGTCCAGTCCCCATCCCGGCACCGTGTGTCTGGAGACAAGGTGGGTCTCAGCTCCTCCTGCTTCGGGGCTGGGAGCCTGGGCTGCTTTCCCTCAGCCCAGAGGGGTGCTCTCTGCATACTTCCCACCCCAACTCCATGAGGCCCTCTCAAGGCCGCAACCGGGGAGCAGGTGTCTCTCTGCCCTTTGGAAATTCTGCAAATGTGCTCTCCCTGCTGGGCCCTGAGGCTGCAGAGGGCCTTGGAGATCTACTCCGGGGAGACCCAGAAGGGAGGAGGCCTGGGCCAGCCTCAGGACCTTCTGGAAGGCTCTGAGAGGCTCATGCCCACCTGGGACAGGGCCATTCCCTGGCCCTCACACCCCCTGTCCCCTCTGCCTTCCTGGGCCAGGCCAGGGGCTCTGGTAGGACACAGACACAGAGACAGGACAGTGACACAGGATAATGTCACTCTGGAGACAGTCATGGGGCCAAAGTCCCGGAGAGCACAGTCGCCCCCATAGCGCCAAGCCTCAAGCCCTAGAGGGAGGCTAGGCCTCCCAGGATGGAGCCATGGGGAGGCCGAGAAGGGACAGAAGAGTGGGGTTGGAGGGGAGAGCTGGCTGTCCCCTCTGTGTGCAGGGAGCAGCCAGGGGGCCTCCCTGACGTCCGACACGCCTGAGGTTTCGGGCCCTGGATCTGTCTGGTCCCTGGAACTGGCCCGTGGCCCAGCCCAAGCTACAGTGGAAGGCTGGTCAGAGAGAGCCGAGGATCCCAGGGAAGGAACAGCAGGGGCTAAAACGGGCAAGGGGGCAGAACTCCAGGAAAATCCCATTCGGAAAAATTACTCTTAAGTGCTCAGGAAGCATTAGAAACATGGACTGCTAACGAGCCTTACGGAGATTAAATTGGAAGCCCGATAAACACCGTCACCTGGTTGCAAAAAGCACGTCCTCTCCTTACCCTGGTTGTACTGGAGTTGTGGGTGCCCCACACCCTCCCAACTCTGCGGGGGTCCTGGGGGCCTGCAGGTGCCTGGGCCGGGGGTCTGGCAGGCAGGAGCGGAAGGGGCTATGACCCCTGGGGCACACCCCCCCCGCCCAGCAGGCTGAAAGATCCTGTCCCCAGGAGCACCCCGGCCCGAGGGGCCCCCCACACCCCACCCCCACTGCAGGGTCCCAGCCTCGCCCCCACTCCAGGGGCTATCCCAGAATGCTTGGGGCCAGGGCTCTTGCCTGAAGCGTGACCCCCGAGCTTCTCTAGAAGGGAAGGAGGGGTCTGAGCCCCTGAGGCTGCCCCAGGAGGTACCCCGCCTCCACCCCCTCACCTCCTGTCCTGCACACGTGCTCAGACTCGAAGCGGACGTGGTTGGTCTGGGTGTAAAATCCCCACGGCTGCCCGGCCCTGCCGGTGTTGCTGGCTGTTCCTGGGCGGGGGGGAGGCCTTGGGTCCCACTCTGCCCACACTGCGCTCGGACCTCATCAACTACCCCCTTCCCGAGCCTGAGCCTGGCTTTAGGGGTCCCCTTGCAGGATGGACCCTGCTCCCTCAGCCTCTTCCAAGGGCCTGCAGAGGGAGCTCAGTTCCCTCCCGCCTGCAGTGGGAGGGACGACCCGGCATCTAGGCCGTTCTGCCCACAGCATGGGACTGGGGTGGGGGCAAAACAGAGGACCCCCCCAGCAGCTGGGCTGACCTGGCCTTGGCTGTGCCCTCCTCCTCTGGGGTCACTGGGCTGGGGATGTCTCTCCTAGAGTGTGCAGTCTAGGGGTGCCGTTGGTGGGAACGGAGAGCAGGAGTGCCCAGGGCAGGGGCAGGGGCAGGGGTGTGCGGAGAAGATGTTTGGGGGGATGGGGTGGCCGTCCAGCCTGGCAGTCCCACGCAGGGCCCCCCAGGTCCCCCCGCCCCCGGGAGACTCCCAGCAGTTGCTTCCTGGAGCAACTGGAGGCTGAGGTCAGCTGGAGGCCAGTGGCGAGAGCCGGATGGGGGTGCGGATGGGAGGCCCCGGGGCCCGCAGAGGGTTGGGGGTGGCCCGGCCGGCCCAGGAGCCGCGGAGGGCACGGAGAGTGCAGCGCTGCGGCGAGCTCCCAGCAGGCCTCCAACAATGTGGTTTCAATCTAATTGTCCCAAAACGTTGTTACAACACGAACCACGTGCCATCCACTCACCTGCAACTAATCAGCAGCAAAGCTACCGAATAAATCGGTTCCACACCCGTGGGGCTGGGCAGCCCGGCGCGCGAACCCAGGCGCCCAGGCCGGGGCCACCGCCGCCGGGGCCTGTTTCCTGTGGGAGCGAGAACGGTCAGGACAAGCTGGGGGCACCGCAGGCGCTCCTCCTCTCTCCGGGACCCCCACCCTACTCTGGAGAGCAGAGCCGGAGGGGCCAGCCCTCAGGTCACTGCCCGTCCAGGCCTCAGAGGGTTGGCCAAGGAGCCGGGGTCACGCTGGGGCCGAAGCCAGGCCAGCCGAGGTCTTCCTGGGCCCAGCGAGTCGTCAGTGTGCTCTCTGCACCCTGAACGTCGCGTCCTGAGACCACGGCATCCTGAGACCGTGGGCGTGGGGGCCTTCCCCTCCGGGGGACAGCTGCAAGCTCTCCGCGGTGGTAACACATCCACCTTCAAAGCCACCAAGGCCTTTGGGTAAACACGACTTGGGGGATTCCTCCAACGCTCAAGGGAGCTAAGGATGCCCCCGTTCAGCCAACGAGGAGACAGGCCGAACACAGGCCCTCTCGGAAGGGAGCCCGAAGCCCAGGCCTTGAGCTCCAGTGGAGGTGACAAAGCAGAATACTGGGGTAGTGGGCCCTAGGGCTCCTTTCCAAGAGCCTGGACGGTCCCCACGGGGGCCCTAGGGCTCAGCCTTGACGCTGAACAGCGTGTCCCAGGCACCAACCGTGGCGTAACCATGGGTTCCACATATCTGCCCTCGGGGGGTTGTCTGAGGGTGGTCTGACAAAGACCCTTTTTCCAAATAAGCTCACACTCAGGTTCCAGGTGGACATATCTTTTTGGGGGGAGGGGGCTGTGGGATTATCGTTGAACCCACTGCATAGAGACAGCCTCCCCTAGAACCCACCTTTGAGAGGTCATATTCTATATTAGGTGTCATACAAGTAAGTGTTTCTCCTACATGAATTTTCATGTCTCTGGGACGTAGATACTTTAGAGGTAAGGAAATGAGGCTCAGAGATGTTAAGCATCTGCCCTGAGGCAGCCCAGCTTGAAAACAGCAGAGCTGCCTCCAGAAGGTCTGTGTTCCTCCTGCAGGACTCGGTAAGGCCTGAGAGGTGACCCTGCGGCTTTGTTTGGGCAGGTGCTCAATCACGGACATCCAAACGCCCCACGAGGAGGAGCACCATCCTGGAGCATCACCAGCAGCCTGCGGCTCAGGCTCACACGCCGAGACCATTACTCCTGGCACAGACCCTGTGGGGTGATTCCACGCAGACTCAGTGGCCCAGGAAGGTGGCGGTGTGTCCAACACCACCCGGCTGGCAGTGGCGGGACGGGGTTCTGACTCAGGCTCGCATTCCTGCGGCGGCCCGCAGGCCCAGCTCAGGCCCTGACGGGTTCCCGGTGGTGGCGGGACGACAGAGCATCCCGAAACCAGGGGCACAGGAGGGTGCAGATGCGGGGACCCCACAGGTGATGCCCAGCCCATATCTGTGCCGATGATGTCACCCTTCCCCATCCATCTCTGAAGAAGAACAAAGTGGACAGAACTGCTTTTTGTGGGGTGCCTGGGTGGCGCAGTTGGTTAAGCGACTGCCTTCAGCTCAGGTCATGATCCTGGAGTCCTGGGATCGAGTCCCACATCGGGCTCCCTGCTCGGCGGGGGGTCTGCTTCTCCCTCTGACCCTCCCCCCTCTCATGCTCTCTATCTCATTCTCTCTTAAATAAATAAATAAAATCTTTAGAAAAAAAAAAAAACTACTTTTTGTGTCCGGTAAGTGGGGCTGGCCTGGCAGCCCAGGAGGCGGGCTCAGGACACTGACCCTCAGACGGATGGGGCGGGGGGCGGGGGGCAGGGAGCCCCTGTGTGCCTCCCACGGGGCCCTTTCCTTTAGAAGTCATTGTTTTCATGTGCTAAAACATATATAACATATAATCGGCCATTTAAACTTTTTTTTTTTAAGTAAGCTCCATACCCAGCGTGGAGCCCAATGCAGGGTTTGAACCCACGACCCTGAGATCAAGACCCGAGGTGAGATCAAGAGTCGACGCTCCACCCACTGAGCCACTCAGGCGCCCTCTGTATTTGACTTTTTAAGGAACTACCAAACCTCCTTCCTCCTTCAACCCATTTTTAATCTTTGAAAAAAAAGAGATTTTGTCTCCATTCCCTCTCCTGGGCCAGAGGGGAACCCGGGAAGGTGGGAAATGCCGGGAAGCTGCTTCAGGCGGGTAAGGTGAACCTAAAGGCCACACATCCACAGCCCAGGCTGGCAGT